GCACCTCCAGGCTCCGCACCTCCAGGCTCAGCACCCCCAGGCTCCGCACCCTCAGACGCAGCACTCCCAGGCTCAGCACCCCCAGACGCAGGACGCGAGTCAACAGCTACCTCGACAGGCTCACCCGGGTCTACCTGGGACACACCTGAGGGAGCGGCACCCTGAGGGGGGAGGGGGTCTGGTACCTCAGCACCTGGAGCGAGGAAGAGAGGCGGGGGGGGGAGCGGGGCAGTGCGGTAGGGGAAGAGGCGGTAGAAGGGGACGGACTCGTCAAAAGTGACGTCCTGAGAGGCCAGAACCCGGCGCGAGGTGACGTGGTAAAACTGCCATCCAGGCGCGTCGGGAACAAAGCCAAGGAAGACACAGGGAAGAGCGCGACGGGAGAGCTTGTCCACAGACGTGTCGCGGACAAAAGCTCGGGATCCCCACACCCGGAAACGCGACGCATCGCCAACCTCTCCCGTCCACCGCAGAGTCGGGGAAGTCTCCGGCAAGGAGACACGGGGCCAGAGGTTGAGCTGATGCGCAGCGTACCGGACCGCAAACGGCCACAGAAAGTGGGGAGCAGCCGCATGGGTCAGGGAGGTACGAGCGACCTCCATGACTAAGCCAATGCGGCGCTCAGCAACCCCATTCTGCTGTGGAGAGGCCGGAAGCGTGTACGACTGCTCAATGCCGTGCTCAGCACAGTAGGCTGCCAAGAGGTCGGAGGCAAACTCACCACCTCTGTCAGAGTGCAAGCGCAGGACAGGAAAGTCCGAGTGAAAGCGCTCGCCTAGCTGGAGACGGGCTCGGCTGATCCAGGGGATCAAAACACCAGGGACGTCACCCTTGGCGCGCAAGGGGAAGACCGTGGTGTAGCGCGAGTAGTCGTCAACAACTATCAGGAAGTACCTCTCCTGACCCTGACCACGGACGCGGGCTGGGCCCCACACGTCCATGTGGAGCGTCTGCAGGGGAGCTGTCGTCGGGGGAAAGGAGGAGGAGTGAGGAGTGGCGCGCTGCCGCCCCTCGACACAGGGAATGCAGTCAGGAGCAGGGGAGTCAGGAAGGGGAGGGAGCACCCTGGGAAGACCAGCAACAAGGTCCCGTTTGTGCATGGCCCGCAGGCGCTGCACAGACGGGTGACCAAGGCGGTGGTGCCAGAGGACGGTGTCGTTCGCCAGAGAGCGACACGAGCAGGGGGCGGACAGCTGACCTGACGCTGACGCAGACGCAGCTACCTGAGGGGACTCAGTGGTCAGTGTGTACAGGTCAGACCCCGGCTCTCGAGTGAAAGTAGCTAGGTGGCGGCCCGTCCGAGCACACGTGCAGTGAGTCACACGCTCGTAGGCAGGGGTGAACTGGTGAACACCCCCGTCCTGGAGCGCACTACCTGCCACCAAGTTCGTGGAGAACGAGGGGAGGTAGAGACCTGAGAGCGTGCCGGACGGAACCGCTGGACACGGAAGGGTGGTGGAGGAGGTCGCAAGGACCGGACCCCCAGAGGGGTCAGCAAGAGAGACAGCAACCGGCCGAGCTAGAGGCTCAAGGACAGTGCGGTCACGAAAGAAAGAGCGAGAAGCACCTGAGTCCAGTGTGAAGGTGTGCAGTGCTGCAGTCGACTCAGTACCAGGGGGCACAGACGCACAAGCACCTAGAGCAGCAGCTGCAGTAGTACCTGTGGAAGCAGACACACTAGCACCTAGAGCAGCAGCGGGGCTGGCCTGAATGCCCGGGTCGGGCGGAACACGCAAGTACTGAGCACCCTCTCCACTAATAGACATCGCATACATGGCAGTGAGAATAGCATCAAAGTCTAGTGCCCAAATATCAACACCCTTCCTGAGCAGCTCAGCCCAGCGCGGCAGCTCACCCCCACCAGGAAACTGGGTGCGCCACGCATCGTTGAGGCGGGCGAAGCAGCGCTCCGTCTGGTGCGGCCCCCCACACGTCTGGCCAGTGCGGTCACCTGTACGAATAACGTACTGGCAGGTGACGCTGCGCCGCGCATACCACTCACGGGCGGCCTGAAGGGTCGGGGCAGGCTGCTGACTCTGACCGCCCCCCGGGCCTCCACGACCACCACCCCCTCCGCCTCCGCCCCGGCCACCTCCACCCCTGCCGCTGCCACGACCACCTCCGCCTCCGCTGCCACCTCCGCCCCTGTCACCACTCCCAACGCCGCTGTCACCTCCACCACTGCCGCCACTAGCCTCTCCAGTCGCACCTCCACCGCCACCACCTCCACCCCCGCCTCCTCCGCCACCACCCCCACTCCTGCCACTCCTGCCCCTGCGTCGTCCGCCTGAAGCAGACGCAGCCCCGACCTTCTCAGCACCAAGGAGGTCGACAGCAGCAGCAGAGGCGACAGAGGGGAGGAGGGGGGAAGGGGAGCACCCCTCGAAGAAGGGGCCGCGGGGGTCGCCACGAGAGGTGCCTACAGCGACGATACTAGCCTCGGCTGCAAGCAGTTCCTTCTCGAGGAGGTCTACGGTGAGCTCAGTGGGGGAGCGAGAGAGGAACTGGTCCCTGACAGGGCGCAGAGAGTCAGGGAGGCGGGTGACAACGTGGTAGAGAGTGATCCAGAGCGGGGGGGGGTTGCTAGCGAGGAACTCGTCAGGCATGGCAGCGCGAAAGCGAGCCTCACTAGTCTTAAGGTGGGTGATGAGGTCTGCGACAGTGTGAAAGGAGGCTAGGTCGGGGAACAGGTAGGGGAGAGTGAGGCGGCCTAGCGTGGCAGAAGCGGGTGAGGAGTAGCGGGCCACTACAGCTGTGTAGAGGTCCTTAGCAGTCTTGCACTGGCCGAAGTGCTCGCGCTCATCTAGCGGCAGGGAGTTGCGAATAGCAAAGCGAGCGTGCGCGTCACGGGTCTGCCACTGTGAGCGCTCAGCTGGGGGGGCAGTAGCGAGTGGGGCGGTCGCATGGCCGAGAGCGTGGTCGTACAGTGTAATATCTTCCTTGGCAGTGAGCTGTAGGAAAAGGTGCAGGTCATCTAGCCAGGTTTCGAATTTGACCGGACGGCCCTCGGCGTCGAAAGCTAGAACAGGAGGACTAGCCATAGCGACAGCGGCAGTAGTAGAAGCAGTAAAGTCACTGAAAAGGCGTGCGCAGGGTCAGCGGGGCCGGTGGGGCCTACGGACTGTAGTGGCGCACAAGCAGCAGTAGCAGGAAGTGTAGTAGTAGGATCTGCAGTGGTGCACAGGCGCAGCAGGCGGCAGCGAGAGCCGGCGCAGCAGGGGCGGGCTCAGCAGCGGTGATACGCGGGCGGCGGCGGGCGCAGCAGCGGCGGTGCGCGGGCGGCGGCGGGCTCAGCAGCGGCGGTGCGCGGGCGGCTGCGGGCTCAGCAGCGGCGGGCCGGGAGCAGGCAGCGCGCGGGCCGTGCGGGCCGTATGTGAGCTGTGCGGGCAGCGTGCGGGCCGGCGGCGGTCAGCGCACGAGCCGCGCAGGCTCAGCGCGGGCTGCGCGGGCTGCTCGCGGGCTGCGTAAGCGGGTCGCGGGCGGCTCGCGGGGGTTCGCGGGCAGGTCGCGGGCTGCTCGCGGGCAGTTCGCGGGCTGTGCGCGGGCTGCGCAGGCGGTTCGCGGGCTGTGCGTGGGCGGTTCGCGGGCTGTGAGCGCGGCGCGCTGTGCGGTTCGCGGGCGGCGTGACGGGGCCGATCGGGGCGCTAAGGGGCGACGCGACGGGGGCCGTGAGAGGCCGCTAGGAAAAAAAAGTTCGACGGGGCCGCAGGGCCGCTAGATCGTGCTAGATCGACGGGGCCAGCGGGGCCGGAAACAAGCGAAGGTAAGCAGGTAGGTAAGTCGGTGGGCCCTAAGAACAGTCCTAGCGAAGGACCTGCTCTGAAACCATGTCAGAAATAACTGAGCAGGAATGAATGAACTAGCACAGAGTTTGGTACAAGTAGGAAACCCTAACTTTGTGTACCCCCTAAGGTGTAACCCACTACAGCCTAGACAATATAAACATGCAATGTTTGACAAGCTGCGCTTATCTGGTCCTATGACCAAGCCAGCAAGGGCGTTGAAGGGTTGCGAGCATCATTGGTCATCGGTGCTCGCGAATGAAGAGCGCCCGCTGCACTTCCTGCACATGTGCAGATCCTTCCGCGTTTTGGGGGTGAATGCGCTCGTTTCGTGCGTTTTTCTTCCGCTGGGTCACGTGGCTGCGCTTGTCTGGTCCTATTACCAAGCCAGCAAGGGCGTGGGAGGGTTGCGAGCATCATCGGTCATCGGCGCTCGCGAATAAAGAGCGCCCGCTGCACTTCGTGCACATGTGCGGATCCTTCCGCGTTTTGGTTGTGAAAGCTCTCGTTACGAGCGTTTTTCTTCCGCCGGGTCACGTGGCTGCGCTTATCTGAGCCTATTACTTTCCAACTCACCCTTATTCTTATCTTCCTAGGTATCCTAGTGCTACGAAGTACTCTACTTTTCTTGCACTCCAATTCTTGGTCCCACAATCCACTTTCCCACAATTGCTCTTGCATGCTATATCAACCTTGCTTGTATCCACCAATATCAATCCATTCTCAACCAATTCTCATTCCATTATTACTCAGTAACTCCTTTGCCTATTTCGCAAATACATTTTTAGTCAAAGTCTTCCGCCTCGCTTTATCCTCAAGTTAGTCAACCCCACTATTCCTTAGGGGATTTAGGCCAATGGTCCTAACAATAGTGTACGCAATATCTTGAAGCGATATTTGAGGGAGCTGTAACCTTGGAAGCATCTTGTTCAGAATCTTTTGCGCGAGGCGAGTGGGGGAGGCACAGCTGCGGGTATCGCGCAGGCCTCTACCCCCCACGGCAAGCAAATGACCACTGCAGCCACTCCACCCCAAACACGGTCAGGCCAGACAGACGGACCGTACTCAGCACGGACGACAGCGTCATGCTGTGATGAGCGCCAGAGCATGACGTGCGGTAGCGGCATTCATCAGCATCAGGACAATAGTCCAGAGATAGCACTCTTATTTAGGCACGCATCATCAGTTTCGCATCTCATCTGTTTCCGCAAATCCCGCATGACAATTTCCATCGACGGTCAGCGGGACACGAATACTAGAAGCGAGCATTCGTAGCAACGTCACATCAGAAATGAGTTCCGTGACTTAGCAAGAAGCTTATGTCCATTGGACAACACCTCACGACTCACGGTAGCGTAGATTCAAACGTGACTGTGTGAGCTCATCGGTAGCGTGCGACGCGATCATGACGAGCAGCAGCGACACCCAGCCGCAGGAGCCGGCGCATACCGCGGGGCCCGAGGTGGCTCTCGTGTTCATCGGCGTATCGCTGGCGCTCGGCGCGCTGTGCCGGCAGGTGCTGAGCAACACGCGCATCCCGTACACCGTCGCGCTGCTGCTCGTCGGCGTCGGGCTCGGCGCGCTAGGTAGGCGAGGGGGTCATTCCATAGGATTACGGTGACAAGCCATTCTCTAGGTACCGCGGCAGTGTTGAGGCATATTTTCTAAGGAGTCTAACGTAATCGTATCATCAGCATTCACAGACTGCAGGGAGTTTTTTCCATTGAAATGGCTCGTTTGTTGACCTGTGGTGCTGCTCGTGGTGGTGGCTTTGCAGAGTATTATGTCAACCTGGGATTGCTGGGGGAGAGCATTCGGATGTGTACGCCTCAGTAACCCTGACCATCGCATTCGCACGTCTTTTCACGCAGTCGCCTCGATTTCTTACTGTCCGACTTTACCCTGACGCTATATTCCAAAATCCCCCATTCCCTTGTCTCGTGAATGGCTCCAGCTAGCCAAGCTTGTGCCGTATCTTTCGCCACGCGTCCCTACATGTGTGCGTGCGTGCGTGCAGGGGCCAACATCGATCCAGAGCTGGTGCTGTACGTCTTTCTGCCCGCGCTGCTATTCGAGAGCGCCTTCTCCTTCGAGTTCCACCAAGTCAAGGTCAGTCAACCATGCCTTGTACCTCGCGTTGCCTCAACATGATTGTCTTCGCACGAGTGCCTTACCCTATCTCCCACACACCCCTACTCCCCGCGTGCGTGTTCCCATTCATCCTCACTCTCCTATGTATCCCCCTGTGATACCTACGTCCCAACGCTCCCCTTGTTGTGGCAAGAGCAGCGGTGTCTGGTGCAGATGTTTCTGCTCGCAGTGCCGGGCGTGGCCATCTCCACGGGCTTCCTCGGAGTCATCAGTCGAGTAAGCGAGCACACTGTTAGGGGAAGCAGGTGAAGCTCCAAAGATGAGGGGTGAAAAAAGACATTGTCATTCACCAATCGGCGTTTTCTTCTGGTAGTTTTTAGTCACTGTGAGGCCCAGTTGAGGCCAGTGCGTGCTCTAACCTCGCCCTGACCTTGTTACTCTCCAGCGCGCACGTGCTGCATGGCGGGTTGCGTTGTGGCAGTACGTGCTGCCGTACGGGTGGAACTGGAGCACGGCCATGCTGCTGGGCGGACTGTTGATCGACACCAACTTGCTCTCCCATCTCTTCCCTCTCCCTCCTTACCCTTTCCCTGCATGCACGGCGCGGTTGGGTGGCAGTACGTGCTGCCGTACGGGTGGAACTGGAGCACGGCCATGCTGCTGGGCGGGCTGCTGAGCGCCACGGACCCCGTGGCCGTGGTGGCGCTGCTGCGCGACCTGGGCGCCTCCAAGAAGCTCAGCACCATCATTGATGGGGAGGCTCTTATGAACGACGGGTGAGCGGTGATGAGGGGTGAGGAGGGGTGAAAAGGGGCGCGCCACGGACCCCGTGGCCGTGGTGGCGCTGCTGCGCGACCTGGGCGCCTCCAAGAAGCTCAGCACCATCATTGACGGGGAGGCGCTCATGAATGATGGGTGAGGGGTGATGAGGGGTGAGGAGGGGTGATGAAGTTTAGGGGGTGAGGGGCTAAGGACCTGGGCGCCTCCAAGAAGCTCGGCACCATCATCGACGGGGAGGCGCTCATGAATGATGGGTGAGGGGTGGTGAGGGGTGATGAGGGGTGAAAAGGGGCACGCCATGGACCCCGTGGCCGTGGTGGCCCTGCTGCGCGACCTGGGCGCCTCCAAGAAGCTCAGCACCATCATTGACGGCGCGGCGCTCATGAAATGATGGGTGAGGGGTGATGAGGGGTGAAGGGTGTGGGCGAATGATGGGTTGGCGCACGAAGAATGCTGTGATTGCCGTTGACGTGCTGTCAGGCCATCCGCGCTCCCGCGTTCATCATCCTGCATCAACGCCCGTATCCTGTCCTGTCCTGTGCCTCTGCCCCTGCCCCTGCCTGTGCCCCGCAGCACGGCGATAGTGGTGTTCCAGCTGTTCCTGCGCCTGACTCTGGGCTACAGCTACGGCATTGGGGATGTCATTGGCTTCCTCTTCAAGGTCACGCTTGGGGGGTGAGTGCCACATGCCCGTATCTGCTCACATGTGCCCGCATGCGCTGCGCTCACACTTGGCGCCATGTGCTCACACGTGCCAGCATGTGCTCACACGTGCCAGCATGTGCTCACACGTGCCAGCATGTGCTCACACGTGCCAGCATGTGCTCACACGTGCCAGCATGTGGTGACACATCTCGCGCCCCTCCTTCATCCTTCCTCGCACTTCTTCTGTGTCCGTTTCCCCCCTCCTCACTGTGCTGGTCTGACATGCACGGTGCGCAGGGTGGGGCTGGGAATGGCGTTCGGCGTGGTGAGTCTGCTGTGGCTGCGCACCATCTTCAGCGACCACGTCATTGAGATCACCATCAGCCTCACCGCCTCCTACATGGCCTTCTTTGTGGTAAGTGCGCATCAACATGCTGCAGCATGTCACATGCACGACTTGCCATACCATGCTGTGCCATGGGGTCAAGGGCATTCCACGCCATGCAGTGCCATGCTGTCACAATGCATCATATTAGATTGTGGACGGATGTGCTGTGCCATGGGATGCTCGAAGAGTTATCTCATGCACCTGACTCCTTGTCTGGTCTTTCTTGCCTGGTGGTACCTTGAATGCAATGTGCATGTGCACAAGTTTGTGTGCCCAAGCCACCTTCATGGTCCCAAGCCACCACATCGTCATAGTCGCGTGTGAGGCTGCCTCTCTGTGTCTCGCTGCATTGAATCCCTCTCTCCCTCTGTGCAGGCTAATGACGTGGCCCAGACCTCGGGAGTTTTGTCAGACATGACGCTTGGCATGTGAGATGCGTGATGCTTGGCATGAGCTGCAGCATGTGTACATGCCAGTGCATTGAAGCTTGCTTAACGGTTTTTTATCATTCTCTGTCTGTATGACCTGGGAACTGTTTCATAACTCACCCGATTCTTCCTTCCGTTCCCTCTCTCCCTCTTCCGCTCTTCCCTCTTCTCTCCTTCCCTCCGCTTTCCTCCCCCTCCTCTTCTCATGGCAGCATGTTTGCCATATTTGCCAAGACGGCATTCACAGGGGAGAGCGAGCAGGGCATGCACCACTTCTGGTGAGAATTACCCAGGCAGGCCTGTCCACTTCATTCCACGCATTTACTATGCTGAAAGGCAATGTCTCTTAAATTCGCTTCCAGAATTGCAGTAACGGATCTCCTTCATTTTATGGTTCATGCTGCAGGGAAATGGTGTCTTACATCGCCAACACGCTCATCTTTGTTCTCAGGTAACTCTTTCTACACGCCTCCTTCCAACCCCACACTGCTGACTTTCAATGAGGCCTTGGCCAGGCGCCCTGCGAGCTCATGCTGTAGACATGGGATGAACTTGTGTCTTGTCTCATGTGCTGCATTCTCTTCATCTCTCCCCACGTGGCAGTGGAGTGGTGATCTCAGAGAGCATCCTCCAGAACGCCAACTACATCAAAGGTGCTCCTCTCCTCGCTACTCTACCCCTCTTATTCACGCTAATCATGCCCTCCTCTGCGTCATGTTGCTGTTTCTGCTTCTGACTGTGGCGGTGGGGTGCCCACCCGGCTCTTCACTTCGTTTCAACAGCCACCCAACTCTGCTCTCCATAGCAACTCCTCCTGCCTTACGCCTCACCCCTGATACGCCTCTCCGCACACTCTACCCTGCGCTTCCCTCTCCCCTTACCCCCTACACCCGCCAGGCGTGGACTGGGGCTACAGGGTGCTGCTGTACGTCTACGTGCAGCTGTCACAAGTGGTGGTGCTGGACCTGCTGTGGGTGGCTATTTTTTAGCTCAGAAACACCGTGCATGCTCTACCCCGCCCTTCACTCCTCCCGTACCCCTTCCACCCGCCAGGCGTTGACTGGGGCTACATGGTGCTGCTCTACGTCTTTGTGCAGCTGTCCCGCGTGGTGGTGGTAGGGGTGGTGTACCCCGGTTTGGCCTCTCTGCCGATGTGCCTCGCTCTACCCTGCCCTCTCCCCGTACCCCTTCCACCCACCAGGCGTGGACTGGGGGTACATGATTCTGCTGTACGTGTTTGTGCAGCTGTCGCGCGTGGTGGTGGTGGGGGTGCTGTACCCCGGACTCGCCACCAGCGGCTACGGGCTCACGTGGAAAGAGGCCATCATCCTCGTCTGGTCGGGCCTGCGCGGTGCCGTCGCCCTCACGCTCGCACTGCTCGTCAGCGTGAGTCGCAGCGCACATTAGGGGTGGGGGGCACATGGGGGTGTGGGACACATGGGGGTGTGGCTCACGTGGAAGGAGGCCATCATCCTCGTCTGGTCCGGCCTGCGCGGTGCCGTCGCCCTCACGCTCGCACTGCTCGTCAGCGTGAGTCGCAGCGCACATTAGGGGTGGGGGGCAGGGTACGCGCGGGGCGTGCGTGGGACAGGGCACACGCAGGGCGTGGGGCACATGGGAGGCGTGGGGTTTCCCTGCTGTGTCCTGCTTGCTGGATGCTGGGCTGCGTCTTTGTCTCTTCCTCTCCATTCCAAGGTTCATGCCGTGCCTAATGTCTTCCCATCCTCCCTACGTGAATCGTGCTCTGCTTCTCATTCCGTGGTCTGCTTCCGCCATGGGTCGTCAGCCTCACCAATAAAGACCGTGATGTTTCCACCCCCTCTTCCCGTTCTGCCATCTGACAGCACGAGCCGGTAACGGAAAACATCACCAAAGAAACAGAAGCCCGGGTAAGTCTCCTCCTGCCTCTCTGTTTTTCAAGGTTCGTTTATGCCATTGGGTAAATAACAAGCCATATTCCCCTTCGCGATGTGCAGCTCACCTCTTCTCTCTTGCACTGTGCGTCCCGCGCAGTTCATGTTCAAAGTTTCGTGTTCAGGGTAAATGTAATTCTGCCCATGCCGCCTCTCTCTGCCTACCTGCCCGGCCCCATGTGATCCCTGTGTGGCAGTTCATGTTCCTGACGGGCGGGGTGGTGTTCCTGACGCTCATAGTGAACGGCAGCACCACGCAGTTCCTGCTCGCAGCTCTCAAGATGAACGCCACCTCCGACATCAAGGTGCCGTGCCTTCCCTTCCCTTCCCCGCACCCTCTCTCTCGCTCCCTCTTCCCATCCATTTGTCACTGTTCCTCAACTACTTCCCCCCTCTCTCTCAGTCAACCTCCTTTCACATCTTTCCCCCTTTCCCATTGCCTCCTTCCTCTCCCCCATCTCCCACCAAACCTCTCCCTGCTCGCACCCCATCCTCTCCCCTCGTCCCGGCCCCGCAACAGAAGCGGGTGGTGAACTTCACGCGCCAGGAGCTTTGTGAGTATGCGGTGAAGACCTTTGAGGACATCGGGGACGACGAGGAGCTGGGGCCAGCAGAGTGGGCCACCGTCAACGAGTACTTCACGTGCTCAGTGCCCTCATCCCCCCCTCCCCATTCCCCCCATAACAGAAGCGAGTAGTCAACTTCACGCGCCAGGAGCTTTGTGAGTATGCGGTGAAGACGTTTGAGGAGATAGGAGACGACGAGGAGCTGGGGCCAGCAGAGTGGGCCACAGTCAACGAGTACCTCACGTGCCTCAAGCAGCCCGCCTCCCACGGCACAGGCTCCCTCTCAGCCAGTGGCTTCCTGAGCCGATTCGGAGGCTCGGGGACTGGTTCGGGGGGAGGGTCGGGGGTGGGGGTGAGGAAGAGCCACCCGCATGACCACAGCCAGTCGCACGAGCAGCTGCGGGCGCAGCAGCTGCATGACACCCGCCTCCGCTTCCTCAACGGTGCGCACCTTCATGCTCATTCAGCACCGCTGCTGTGCTGCTTTGCTTTTCCATATGAGGCATGGTCTACCGCGTTTCACTAGCTTGTTTTCCTCCCTACTCCCCCTCAATTCCGCCCCGTGCTCCTCCCTCCCCTCGTCCATACTGCCCGCACACCACACCTGTTCCCCACCCTACCCAGGTGTGCAGGCGGCGTATTGGAGCATGCTGGAGGAGGGGCGAGTCAACCAGACGGCCGCCATGCTGCTCATGCAGGCCATTGCAGAGGCCGTGGACCTGACCACGCAGCAGCACCGCCTGTGCCTGTGGAAGGCCCTGGAGCCGCACGTGCGCATGCCGCGCTACCTGCGCCTCTTCCACCGCCGCCTGCGCAAGCTGCTGCCCCAGCGCGCCCTCAACTGGGTCACCGTGGACCGTCTGGAGCTGGCGGCTTCCATGAGTGCTGCCTACATCCGCGCTCTCAGGCATGCGCGCCAGCAGCTGCGTGACTTCCTCAGTGAGTGGAACTGTTTACTAGTGATCCCTGCGCAAGCTGCTCCCCCAGCGCGCCCTCAACTGGGTCACCGTGGACCGTCTGGAGCTGGCGGCTTCCATGAGTGCTGCCTACATCCGCGCTCTCAGGCATGCGCGCCAGCAGCTGCGTGACTTCCTCAGTGAGTGGAACTGTTTACTAGTGATCCCTGCGCAAGCTGCTCCCCCAGCGCGCCCTCAACTGGGTCACCGTGGACCGTCTGGAGCTGGCGGCTTCCATGAGTGCTGCCTACATCCGCGCTCTCAGGCATGCGCGCCAGCAGCTGCGTGACTTCCTCAGTGAGTGGAACTGTTTACTAGTGATCCCTGCGCAAGCTGCTCCCCCAGCGCGCCCTCAACTGGGTCACCGTGGACCGTCTGGAGCTGGCGGCTTCCATGAGTGCTGCCTACATCCGCGCTCTCAGGCATGCGCGCCAGCAGCTGCGTGACTTCCTCAGTGAGTGGAACTGTTTACTAGTGATCCCTGCGCAAGCTGCTCCCCCAGCGCGCCCTCAACTGGGTCACCGTGGACCGTCTGGAGCTGGCGGCTTCCATGAGTGCTGCCTACATCCGCGCTCTCAGGCATGCGCGCCAGCAGCTGCGTGACTTCCTCAGTGAGTGGAACTGTTTACTAGTGATCCCTGCGCAAGCTGCTCCCCCAGCGCGCCCTCAACTGGGTCACCGTGGACCGTCTGGAGCTGGCAGCATCAATGTCTGCTGCGTACATCCGCGCACTGCGCCATGCCCGACAGCAGCTGCGGGACTTCCTCAGTGAGTGCGGGTGGCGCTGATCAGCGAGTGGGTGGGGCTGTACGTCAGTGCATGAGATCGCCTGTGTGCGCGGCCCTTGCTCCATAACCTCTGCCCCGGCTTCCTCACCTTTCCCACTTCCTCCCTTTCCCCGTCCGCCCCCTTGGTCCACCAGAGGACAGCCCCATATGCGAGGCAGTGATACTGGAGAGCGAGGAGGAGGAGGTGCAGGCCAGGAAGTTCATGGAAGACGTGCGACTCAACTTCCCGGAGGTCCTCACCATCATCAAGACCAAGCAGGTCACCTACGCCATCCTGCAGGGCCTGCATGGGTACGTGGAGAATCTCGAGCACGCGGGGCTGCTGGACCAGCGCGAGGTGATGCATTTAAGCAAGGCGGTGCAGGCGGACATGAAGAAGCTGCAGCGCAGCCCGCCGTTTGTGGCCATGCTGCCGGCGGGGGAGGTGCTGGCGAGGCAGCCGCTGATCGGAGCGCTACCGGCGGATATACGAATGGCGCTGCTGCAGCCGCTCAAAGAGGCCACTAAGCTCTCCGGTGCCGCCCTCTTCCACGAGGGGCAGGCGGCACAGGGCGTCTGGCTCATCGCCTCCGGTACTGCCAAGGTGATTACTCACCCCACGCACCCACCTGCCCTCTCAACCGTCCGTCCGTCCATCTATCATTCGTCCTTCATCCCAAGTGTTGCAGGATTGGACCCGTTCTCTCGCACCCGTTTTCCCGTGCGTCTTATTCTCTGTCCCCCATCCCACCCCACCCACCGATGGCAGTGGACGTCAGCGCGGGCAGAGGCAGAAGCAGAGGCGCACGGGCACCGGTTCATCCCGCCGCTGTTTGCACACGGCAGCTCCGTGGGGCTGTATGAGACGCTGCGGGGGTGCACTTACATGAGCACGGTGACAGCAGACAGTGTGCTGCACTGCTTCTTCATCGATAGACAGAGGATCATGGACGCTGCGAGCAGCAGCGATGCCATAGAGGACTTCCTGTGGAAGGTGAGAAGCAGGGGTAACAGTAAGGGCGTAACTATTTTTCACTCTCTCACTCCACTTATTTGTTCCCAACTTGCAGTATGTCTGCTCCTGCCCCCTCTCCCTCACACTCGCCATGTTCTTCTCCCGTTTCTCCCTGTTTCCCTCCCCTTCCTTCCTGTGCTTTCGCGCTTCCTCTGTGCTGTGTTCGCCTCCCTGCAGGAGAGCTGTCTGGAGGTGGTGAGGGTGCTGCAACCGGAGGAGTTCGGCGCGCTCTCAATGCACGAGCTGCGAGTGCTGCTCACCGACTCAGCGCACCTCCTCACCTGCCGCCCAGGAGACACCCTGGACCTGCTGCCCTCGCAAGTGGCCGTGCTGCTTCTCGGCTCCGTGCGACCCGTCGACCTCTCCCTGCCCAACGCCTCTGCCTCCGCCTCTGCCATTCCTTTCTCAGGCTCTGCTCTCGCTGCCTCTCAGCCGGTGCTGCTTCCCACGCACACTGCTGCTGCCTCGTCTGCCATTCCTGGTGCTGCCGCAGCTGATGCTGCCACGGCAGATGCTGCCACGGCGGATGCTGCCGCGACTGGTTCCGCAAGAGCAGGCGTAGGGCAGGTGAATGGGGGCGTGCGTGCGGGTGCACACGGCGTGCAAGGGGGTGACCCAAGCGAGACGGATACGCTGCTGGGCGGTGGCTGGGGGCGGTGGGGATGGAGGGGCGGGGAAGAGCAATGGGGAGCAAGAGGGAGAAGGCTTGGGGAGGGATGGGCGAGTGGAGAATGGCATGCTGGTGGCCATTGATGCCCCGGCATTACTCACCGCACAGCCACTGCCACCCGCAGGTGCGTTCCCCACAAAACTGCTGCTCGTGCCCTTGAATCTTCACTGAACGGGCCAGAAGGATTCAATTGGAGCAGTCAACAGGGTTCCTAAGAGTTCCTGTCGTGTCATGAGCTGATAACCCTCTGAATGCTTTCTCGCTGCGCAGCCCCTGATCGGTCAATGTATGGAGACAGCACTGCCATGCTCCCCGGGCGCTACTCCGCTCTCTCCCTCTGCAAGCTGCTGGTCATCCACATGCCCCGCGACCTCATGTCCGTCCAAAACACGCCCACCAGGTGCGTGAGGCAGACAGTGATTGCACGTGTGGGGCTTGCCCATGTACCTGCAGTGCAGTGCAGTGCATCCGCTGTACACATGTATATGACTGCGACCCATCATCTTCTCATCGCTTGCTCCCACACCATCTTCCTGCTCCCCCTTCTCTGCATGTGCGTGCGCCATCACCTGCAACGCAACCATCCACTCCTAACATCCTCCCCCCTTCTCCTCTCCCCTCGCTTTCCCCTATCATCCGCCCAATCAGGTCATTCCACGTGCACCGCCCGCTGGCCACGCACGACCACGACGGGCTACTGCGCTTCGGAGCGGAGAGAGCAGAGGAGAGCACCCTCAACGACGCACTGCTGGCCGTCGTGGGGGGAGCGGGGGAGCACGCTGGCGAGGAGGGCGTGGGGGGGCTGGGCGAGGAGGGGCTGAGTGAGATGACCATGCCGCGCGGGAGCGAGCTGGCGGCGGCGCTGCGGGACCGTGCTGTGGTGGACCAGACGCTCATGGAACGAGCCATGGAGCTCAGTGTGTTTGGTAGCAAGGTGAGCGCGGGAATAGGGCGAGAGAGTGTGGCTGGCAGACACTGCTTCTTGAGTCGCCTCTGCACTGAGGGACCGTGCGGTGGTGGACCAGACGCTCATGGAGCGAGCCATGGAGCTCAGTGTGTTCGGCAGCAAGGTGAGTGCGAGACTGGGGGAAAAAGAACTGAGAGTCGGACACCCCCGCTTGTGCACCTGTATTGTTGCTGCTCTTTCCTACTGCAACCTGCTTGTCTGTGTGTCTTGCATCTACTGTTCCCACCCCATCAGCTTATCCGCCCTTTCTTCTCACTCCTCACCGCCCTGCCCCACCGCTTCCCACCCCACCCCTTTTGTCGCAGCTGAACCTGAGACCGCGCAGGACCACGGACACATCACCGCACCATCATTCGCAACTGCACTACAGCCATGTGCACGCGCACTATCACAGCCACTACAACCTGCACGCCGCAAGAGTCAGCCCCACACCCTCCCCCGCTACAGCCCTCTTCACCGCCTCCCAGCCGCACCTGCTGCCTCATTTTGGCCGCCGGGCAGGACAGCCGGTAAATCGGGCTGCCACGTCATCTGGTGCCAGCGCGCGCAAATCCAGCGACCCCAACATTGTCCAATCGATGCGCAACGGCCAGGCCAGCTCTGCAGCGCAGGGACAGCTGGCAAGAGGCGGGGCTCACAGCACGTCGCTGTCTGCGATCCTGCCGTCGCTTTTCGCGGCGGCTGGTTCGCAATCTCAGGGCAGTGATGGTGGTGGTGGTGTGAAAGCTGACGGGCCATCGAGGGACGGTGGTGCTGGAGATGTAGCGAAGCGTGAAGTCCCCCGTGCGTTTCTGCCGCCTCATCGGCCTCCGTCCTCGGCGCCGGCCTCGTCCAGTGGTATTCCTCTCGACCGTCAACCTGATTCTGCGGAAGGAATGGCATTGATAGAAAATTTACCAAAGGAGGAGTCACGAGGAGGCCCATCGCGTGAGCTTCACCCAATTCCTTCTGCCCCCAATGAAAGAGTGGCTGATGATAGCGACGAGGAGGATGGCGCGGATCATGTTGTCTCCATTGACTCACCTAGCCGCCTGTTTTAAACACAGGGAAACATTTCTATGTAGTGGGCGCCTATCTGTTTATTGATTGCTGTTGATGTCCTTAGGATGTAAATTGTATGGGAAACACTAATCCTCGTCAGCAGCTCATTGGTGTACAAAGTAATTAGCAGGTGCTATCTGCGTCAGGCCTATTCGCGAAAATAACTTCAAGCATAACCGGAGATGGCGAAGACGGATCGCAGATGTTAATTCAGGTGCCAGGTGAACACCTGCCACAGATGCATCTCGGAATGTCCACCATTGCCAGGGAATTCCTTTGGCCGACTTTTCCTTCCATCGCCACCGTCACATTTCCTCTCTTCATTCGCAATCATACCAGTCTTTTCTTCACCATCCGCACCCAAGCATCAGACGACATCATTGCCTATAGTTTGTAAACGGAACCTCGGTTTTTCTCTAGATCGGGTAGGCGCCATGGCGAGCAAGGCAGCTTTCGTTCTTCTCGCCCTCCTCGCGGCTGCCGCGTTCTGTAACGCGAGCCGTCCTCTGCCTGCAGACAGTGACAACTCAGTAACGATCGTAGAAAAAGATAGCGATAATAGTGTCGCCGTGGTTCCCGCTGATAACGACAACACTGTTGCCGTGGTTCCCGCCGATAACGACAACACTGTTGCCGTGGTTCCCGCCGATAACGACAACACTGTCGCTGTGGTTCCCGCCGATAACGACAACACTGTCGCCGTGGTTCCCGCCGATAACGACAACACTGTCGCCGTGGTTCCCGCCGATAACGACAACACTGTCGCTGTGGTTCCCGCCGATAACGACAACACTGTCGCTGTGGTTCCCGCCGATAACGACAACACTGTCGCCGTGGTTCCCGCTGATAACGACAACACTGTCGCCGTGGTTCCCGCTGATAACGACAACACTGTCGCCGTGGTTCCCGCTGATAACGACAACACTGTTGCCGTGGTTCCCGCTGATAACGACAACACTGTTGCCGTGGTTCCCGCCGAAGCAGAGGACAACGTGGCTGTCGCTCAGCCATCCTCTGACGTCAGCCCTAAGATTGCTATGGTTGTGTAAACCAGAACCGTGACCACAGCAGTTGAGGATCGTGAAGAAATGAAGTCACTCTCATTTAGTTGTGAATAGCCAGTCCTGTTGTATAGCCAGTCCTGTTGTGTATCTTAGAGTCAGCTACCGTGTGTTGTATAAGGGCCGAGAGGATGTTTGCGGCTGTAAATGTACCTGTTGTATCCATTCCATATGTGCCAGCTTCAGGCGAAGCACCTACATGCATTGATGTCTGTATTCTGGCCTGAGAATGTCAGCTGAGCATGCTTGTGGGATCATATAGTTGCATGTCAAATGCAATTATTATGAAGTGATGGTACTATATCTACCTACCTGCCCTCCTATCTCCGGAACAGTCCCAGATACCTCCATGCATTGTCACCCAGTAATCCAGTGGAGATAAGAGTGCTCCCAATTAGGGTGCCGTACTCAACCAATTTTGATTCAATGCATTGGAAGGTGGAATAAAATCAATGATTGTGTGAGGAATGAAATTTCGTGAATGTATACCCTTGAACCACGTTATAGAGTTTATTGCTACCATACCCTCCTTGGCTTTCCTTCTCGACCTCATCACCCCGGCACGCCTCGGTGACCCTGGTGATCCCACCTCCACACCCAGTGACCTCGGTAGGCCTCCACTGCACATCCCAGTGTCCCTGGTACTGTAGCCCTCCGTATCCGGCGACCCCGGTAAGCCTTCACACCCCGTGCGCCATGGCGAGCCGAGATGTTCCGCACCAGGGTCGCGATTCGCGAATTCAGGGTGCCTCTTCTTAGGTATGCTGTCGCACGCCCTGAGAACAACCTTCACGTGACCCCCTTAGGTCGTGGCGGCCCCCATTGTGTCTCGCTCCCGATCGCGAAACTGTCGCTAACAGCGACCGTGTGTGTTGCCGAACGCGCAATAACCACAGCGTGGATTCGGCGAGGCTCGTATAAAGGGTTACTATGTGTCAAATGATATATATGTGTGATATATATTGGTAGGCTGTAGTGGGGTAGATGTTGTAGGAGATAACACTTTAGGGTTGTGTTATTTGTACCAAACTCTCCATAGTGAACTCAACCTTGCCTGATTCTCTCGACATGGCATCTAGAGCAGGTTCCTAGACCTAAGCTTAAGGGCCCACCATGTGCTAAGTTACCTCCCCAACGGCCTACCTGCCTGCCTTGCATACGTATCTGCCTAGCCTGCTGCCCGCGCGCGCCTCGGCTGCGCGCGCACGCCTTTTTTTTTAGCGCGCACAGCTGCTGCCAGCCGCGTCGCGCCCCGTAGGTCGCTGGTGCAGCCCGCCCTGAGCCCGCGCGGCCCGCAGCTGCCCTGCGCACCGTCCGTGCAGCCCGCGCCGAGCCCGCACGGCCCGCACTGAGCCCGCGCAGCCCGCGCGCAGCCCGCGCAGCCCGCGCGGCCTGCACTGAGCCTGCGCAGCCCGCGCGCAGCCCGCGCGCAGTCCGCACGCGGCCCGCGCACCGCCCGCGCAGCTCACGTCGCGCCCCGCCAGCCTACACGCGGCCTGTCACAGAACTGCGTGCTTCCTTACCTGCTACAGTTGCCTGTTGCCTGAGCCTGCAGCCTTTGCCTGCTGCCTGAGCCTGCTGCCTGAACCTGCAGTCTTTGCCTGCTGCCTGAGCCTGCTGCCTGAGCCTGCTGCCTGAGCCTGCTGCCTGAGCCTGCTGCCTGAGCCTGCTGCCTGAGCCTGCTACTTTTGACTGCGCTGCAACCATGGCGACCCTTACTGTTCTCGCCTTTGAGCCTGACGGCCGCCCCATCGAGTTTGACACCTGGCTTAGTGACCTGCGCCTTTACCTTATGACTGACGTCGCAGACGGAGTGTCACTGCTAGCCTATGTGACCGGCACTGTCCCTACTCCCGCTGAGACTGCTCCTGCCCCTGAACGAGCACAGTGGGAGCTCCGTGATGCAGTCGCGCGCCTTGTTATTCGCAATCACCTACCGATCTCTGAGCGCGCGCATTTCAACCAGCTTAAGACTGCTAAGACGCTGTATGATGCTGTCGTTGCCCGCTATTCCGCCCCGGCCACAGCCACCGTTGGTAGTCTCATCCTGCCTTACCTGTTCCCAGACTTAGCCTCGTTTCACACTGCTGCCGACCTTATCACTCACCTCCGCGCTAGTGACGCCCGCTTTCGAGCCGCTCTTACCAACGAGTTCCTCGCCACGAACACCCCCCCGCTGTACTTCACCCTCTACATCCTCGTCACCCGCCTCCCTGACACTCTTCGCTCTGTCAGGGATTACTTCCTTGCCAAGGATCCTCCAACTATCACTCTGGACGACTTCGAGCAGCAGCTGGTCGCAGCAGAGAAGAACATCCTCGCTGTCGGTGCTGCTCGTGGCACTCCCCGCACTCCCCTCTTTGAGGGGTGCTCCCCCTCCCCTCTTGACCCCTCCTACGCCTCTGCTGCTACTGCTGTCGACTTCCTCGGTGCGGAGAAGGTCGCAGCGGCTTCCGCTCCTGGTGGGAAGCGTGGTGGTGGCAGGGGCGGCAAGGGTGGCAGGGGTGGCGGAGGTGGCGGTGGAGGGAGCGGTGGTGGAGGCGGCGGGGGTGGTGGAGGTGGTGGGGGTGGCCGTGGGGGTGGAGGCGGTGGGTGGGGTGGCGGCAGGACCGGGGGCGGTGGAGGCGGCAGCGGCGGTGGTGGGGGGGAGGAGGCAGCGGCAGTGGCGGTGGAGGTGGGAGTGGGGGTGGATCTGGCCAGAAGGGTGGCCAGCTGCAGCAACAGCAGCACCAGCCACAGCAGCAGCAGCAGCTTCCTCCCCTCACCTCCCAGCAGCTCAATGACTGGTATGCTGGGCGTGGGGCGTCTCGTGGTTCTGACCGCTGCCCCTATGTCATTCGTACTGGCCCCCGCAAGGGTCGCCCCTGCAACGGTTTTCACGTTGAGTATCGTTGTTTTGCTAGGCTTAGTGACGCCTGGCGTACCAAGTATCCTGATGCTACTGAGTTCCCCAACTGGGCAGAGCTGCTTAGGCGTGATGTGCCTATCTTTGATCTGGACTATGATGTTATTCTTGCTGCCATGTATGCATTGACTGTTAGTGCTGAGGGTGACTGCTACTTGTGTGTGCCGCCTGACCCTGGTATTGACCCCGGTATAAGGGCTGCAGCCCTAGGTGCTAGTGAGTCTGCTCCCCTTGGTACTGAGTCGGCTCAGGCCTTGCACACGTTTACACTTGACTCTGGTGCTTCCCGCTGTTTCTTTCGCGATAGCACCACCGTCACTCCCCTCCCTGCACCTGTCCCTGTCTCCCTGGCTGACCCCTCTGGGGGCCCAGTGCTTGCACGAGCCACGACTGTGCTCCCGTGCCCGGCGGTCCCGTCTGGTGAGCTGTCAGGTCTCCACGTTCCCTCGTTCTCTACGAACCTGGTGAGCAACGCCGTCCTCCAGGATCACTGGGTTGACACCTGGACTCCTGGAGGGCAGCGTGTGGCGATCTGCACGTGCTCCAAGACTGGCCGCCACCTGGCCACGTTCACTCGTGAGCCGGGGTCCAGTCTGTACACCCTCACCACTGTTTCACGCTCCGCTCCTTTGTCTCCGCAGCTGTACGCGTCTGCTCAGGTAGCTACCCAGTGTGAGTGCCGCCGCCTGTCGCACGACACGCTCCTGTGGCACCACCGCCTTGGTCACCCCTCCCTGCCTCGCCTTCGTAGCATGCACTCTCGCTCTCTGGTCTCTGGGCTTCCCAGGTCTCTGCCTGCCCTCCCTCCCTCGCCTGCGCCGCCCTGCATTCCCTGCGTCGAGGGGCGGCAGTGCGCCGCTCCTCACTCCTCCTCGTTTCCTCCCACAGAGGCTCCCCTGCAGACGCTTCACCTGGACGTGTGGGGCCCAGCCCGCGTCCAGGGACAGGGCCGTGAGCGGTACTTTCTGCTGGTTGTCGACGACTACACGCGTTACACCACGGTCTTCCCCTTGCGCAGCAAGGGAGACGTCCCTGCTGTTCTGATCCCCTGGATCCGCGCTGTGCGTCTCCAGCTCCGCGAGCGGTTCGAGCGGGACTTTCCTGTCCTGCGTCTGCACTCTGACAGAGGTGGTGAGTTCTCCTCTGACCTCTTGGCAGCCTTCTGTGCGGAGCACGGCATCACCCAGTCGTTCACGCTTCCGGCCTCTCCGCAGCAGAATGGGGTTGCTGAGCGCCGCATTGGCTTAGTCATGGAGGTCGCTCGTACCTCCATGATCCATGCGGCGGCTCCCCATTTTCTGTGGCCGTTCGCGGTCCGGTACGCCGCGCATCAGCTCAACCTCTGGCCCCGTGTCTCCTTGCCGGAGACCTCGCCCACGCTGCTGTGGACGGGGGAGGTTGGCGATGCGTCGCGTTTCCGGGTCTGGGGTGCTCGTGCCTTTGTCCGCGATCTCACCGCGGACAAGCTCTCTGCTCGCGCCATTCCCTGCGTCTTCCTTGGTTTTCCTCCTGACGCGCCTGGCTGGCAGTTTTACGAGCCCACCTCGCGCCGTGTCTTTGCGTCTCAGGACGTCACCTTTGACGAGTCTGTTCCCTTCTACCGTCTCTTTCCCTACCGCACTGCCTCTCGCCCCCCCCCGCCGCTCTTTCTCGCTCCAGGTCCTCCCCAGGTAGACCCCCTCCCCGCGCCAGGTCCTGCTCCTTCAGGTGTTTCTCAGGTAGACCCCCCGGTACCTGCGCCTGTTGAGGTCACTGGTGACTCAGGTCCTGCTGGAGGTGGTCCTACTCGGGGTGCTGTCTCTGGGGGTGCTGAGCCTGGGAGTGCGGAGCCTGAGCGAGAGGCGCCTAGAGGTGCTGAGCCTGGGGGTGCGGAGTCTGGGGGTGCCGTGCCTGCGCGTGAGGAGCCTGGAGGTGCTGAGCTTGGGGGTGTCGAGTCTGAGGGTGCTGTGCCTGCGCGTGAGGAGCCTGGAGGTGCTGAGCTTGCGGGTGCCGAGTCTGCGGGTACTGAGCCTACGCGTGTGGAGCCTGGAGGTGCTGACGCTGGAGGTTCTGGAGCAGTTGGGGGTGCTGGCGCTGAGGGTTC